TCACCTTTATAACCCTCTTTAAAAATTCAAGCTTTTTTGTAAATGGCCCTTTGTGTTTTTCACAATTTGTCTTTGGTGCTGTATGAAATTGTTTGGAGTGAGATCTGGTGAAATCGGAATTCCTTCCAGCAGAGCTACCCTATAAACGAATGTTCAAGTATCCAACAAGAAATCCCAGCAAACAACTCTTTTGTGATGCTATACAGATTACCTTTAACCTTTAGCTGACGTGAGCATTAAAGACTTGGCATGGCACACCTTGAACATTAAACCAGCTACTTTAACTGCATCGGGGGCAACAATAACATTGCAAATATGGTGACTGCATTGCTGTCAAACTGGATTTCTGAGTTCATCACGTGAGTTTAACTGTGATTAACTTAGCTTGGCAGAATTTACCATGAGAAAACACTGGGTAAATACCACACAGTGTAATTCTACAGAATTTTGTTCCTTTATGGTGGTCAAGAGTAATCAATTCATCCACTTGATTCAATGCGAATTCCAAATCTTTTTGCTAACTTGTGGTTTTTCTATTTCCTTTCCATATATATTCCTTGATAAGTGTGCTTTCAAGAACAATTTATATAGTGCCTTTCACATTGGGAGAGTGTCTTGGACACTTCACACAGCTGACTGGGAGCCCAAGAGTTGGGGGTGAGGGAGTTGAGGAGTGCTTGTGGGGGTGGGGAAGAAGACATTGAAATATTTTCACTTTTATGGGTCTTCTCATACAATGGGGGAAGGTACCTGCACCAAAGAATACAGCATTTGGAAAGTTATTAAGTTGAAACATTATGTAAATGTTTCTGTGTGCAGAATTTTAACCTCAATGTAGCCTCTCTAGAAGTTGCCGTGATTAAAAATGGGCATTTTCAGTGTTAACGTATAGATGGGCTGAGCGACAGCCTGCTTGCAGCTAGAAAGCATAGCTGCTTGCACCTCAATTTTCAAGTCACCACATACTTTGTTTGATTATACACCTTCTCTGCTGCCAAAGATGAAGTTGCAAATCTGACTTGAAACTACATTGAAACAAATGTGTGTGCATGTGCAGCAGTTTCTGTTTCACTGTAGGAATGCACAGAATATGATGTTGCAGAGCAGTTTCTGGTAACACTGGTTCTGTCTGCAGCAAGCATATCATTTATACCTTCCCAGTTAAATATCTCTTTAAAATTAATTTTACTAGGGCCTTGTGCGAGGGTTCTTGGCAAATAGACTGTGAATCTGCCTCCAGGTACTTTGTGACATATCAGTGTAGCCCTCCCTCCCTGCAGGCACTTTCTGTGTTTGCCATAGGTCCACTTCACTGCTTGATCCTGGACTTTGTAAACGTGTCAGAGGAAGCCTCTCTGCTGCATCCCCAGGAACTCGGATCCTTAAAGGAATTGTTTGCACACAGGTCTCGGATGTCGCAAGCTTGACCTGCGTTTGGACCGTGCTGGCTTGAAAAGGGACGAGCATAACCAGATTGGCCTTCGCCCCTTCTAAGCCAGCGTAGTCCCAAAATCAACACTACTCGGATAAGGTCACTACTCAATAACGTGAATGATCTGTGTGATATTATTGTAGTTATTGCTATAAAGCATAATTTAAGATTTTTTTCAGTGAATTCAAATAAGGTAGCACAGTAACAAGCTATAGTTCAATAAATTAGCATGGATGCAGGAAAGGATGAAGTAAAATTATTTTGGATCAAATAAACCAGTTGAAACAATCATTTTAAAATTGTTTATAGTGCATTTAAAATGACACAACTCAACTGGTCTCCCAGACTAATACCAAGTCTGGTTAAAGTATTCCACAAACCAGTGGACTGCTTGGAAATGTTCCTCTGCTACTTTGCTTCATATGATGAAGACTTTCATCCCATCAGTCTGGGTTAGGAATAATGTCTGGTCCCTTGTGTATTCACCCACTATTCACCTTTGCCCTCTGCTAAATTATTTGGAATTTTTTTCAACCTGAGTTCATAAGTATTATTCGTTCTGTATTTTATGTACCTTCTACAGCATTGAGGAGTTTCTGATTCTGACCCCAAATGAACAAGCTAAATTATCTATGGAAACATTTTTAACAACAACTTGTACTTATATAGCACCGTCCACGCAGGGTAGCGTCTCAGAGCACTTAACCCATTGCTTCACCTTCAACTCTGTTCAGTATCTTGCATTGTCAGGGTTTATCAATCGCTCATAGCTGTGAAGCTCTTTGAGATGTTTCAACATCATAGGGGCTATATTAAATGGAAGGATTAATTAAGTGAAATTGAATGTATGATTAAAACTTGAACAGTGTAAATTCTCAGACCACATATAAAGCAGCAGGAATGATGATCAAGGCCAAATTCCAGCTTTCGTTAATACTTTCAGGAATAAGGTGCTTGCTTATAATTAGATTTCGTACTGCTTGTTTTTAAATTTAAACTGCAGTTGACATCATCCTCTTGGTGCTTTATTAGGCTTAGTGAGGAAGAAGTTTTAGTAATTGTACCTTGTGGTAATACTCTGAATATCTGCAATTAAATTTTGCAGTATTTCAATTTCTAATGCATCTTTTTCTATTTCTCCTTTCCTTCGGATGTACTGCAGTAATTGTTAATCATTTCAGATGATGCTAAGTCATGTGAAATTTCCTTCAGCAACTGGGATTAATTTTTTTTTACTTCTGAGTCATAAGCAAGCGAGAGATAAGCGAGGCAGAATTATTAAAAATGTCAATACCATTTCCGTAGTTGGAGGGCATCTAGTAAAGATGCACACATGTTCAGAGCCTATTTAAAAGACTTTAAAAGAGTATACAATTGTTTTTAAATTGATTTCTTCAGTGCATTATTTTAGGTTAGAAACTGAAAGTATATTTTGAAGAAAATTTTAAGAATTCAGGTAGTGGTGGTAATCTTTTACTATGGAAGAAATGGCTGTGATCAAAGCTGTCTCCCAATTCCACCTTCCTGTTTTACACGGGCTGCTGCCAAAGTGATTTGAATGGGACATGTCTCTTTTCAGTGTAGATCAAATAAAGGATAAATATGAAGGAAAGATTACATATATGCAAACGTGTTATGTTCATATTGTTTCCTTAACTTTTGAATTGTATTGGTAAAGATAAAGGCTGGCAAATTGAATCAAAACCATTTCATTGACACCTTGGAGGGCTGGCAGTGAAACCTCCATGCTTACAACAGTCCAGTTTGCCTTTCAATTGGCTGAATTTTGAAGAAGAATAAAATCTTTTGAAGGGTGAAAACTATCTGCCTGGGCAGCTCTTCGTCTGGTCAACGTGTCAGATGAACGTGTCAAAATATGGAAATGACATGTTTGAGTGACATCCTCCCACAATCCTTGTTGGTCCTGATTCGTACTGGTTCTAGACATGGCAAAACATCATTTACCATCAAGTATTTTGCTCCTATTGCAAGTGTGATTAAGGTTAAAAGGGAAAAAAAAGCACTTTATTTTCTTCTGGACTGTTGTGAGTATAGAGGTTTCTTTTCATTCCCTGCATATCTGTAAAGGTGTCCGGAAAGTTTTCACCCTTCAAAAGATTTTATTCATCTTGAAAATTCGGTTGGCGGGGATTAAAGTAAAGGAAAAATATACGTGTTACTGCCAAAATGTCTTACCACTTTGCCACGGAACATTGGTCACATTTTTTACCTTGTCACTCTTGAAGCCTGATGTGTTTTATAGTGCAATTAGTAATGGCATATACAGTCATACTAGTAAGAGGAAAACTCACTCCCTGCATTAGTTTATTATTATTAGTTAATTCCCAGACTGCTGAAATTAAACCTGGACAACCGAAACTGCCACAGAGGGTTGATTCGATTCTGCTTTCTGTTGCCAAATTTCACCTTCTGCAGCTCAAAGAAGGATCGTCATTAGTTGGTCATTTGACGTGCGACAAGCGCGGGTTTGAGCCCTCACTGGGTGGATGTTGGGTTTCAGGAACTCCCAGCGAGCTTCTTGGTGACAACACACACAGCTCAGCATGAAATACGTGAAAGCATTGCCACCACCTTCCTGTCTGTGGCTGGGACACACAACCCCTCTCCATTGAGTGATTGTTCCACCAGTTGGTCGCGTGGAGCTTAAGCAGCAGCTGCTGTGCAAGTGGGAAGACCTTTATTGCAGTTTGCCAGCCTCCACCTAACGCTTCAGGAACTGGGTCAGCAAAAGGTGCATCTCTCATTCCATTCAGCCACATTCTACTCCAGAAGAGGACAGTTTTTGTACATAGATGGCATACATGTGTGGACTTTGGGTTGGGTACTTGTAAGCGTGGTGATGGTTTCCTGCATGTCAGGCACTGGCTGACCAAACAAAATGCACCTATAACAATTGTGTTCATTTGAGATGTGTCTGCAACATTTTTTGTTGCGCTATAGATAACTTCATTAGTTTTGGAACTTAAAAGTTGTTTGATGTGTAGAAAAAAAATAGAAAACCATCGTGATCTGTGCTATCAGTTGTGATTTAGACATCTAATACTAATGCTCTTTGCTGCTCCTGTAAGTTGTATTCTTTGTATCAGGCAATGATTTTCCGATCGAACAATTAAACTTATTTAATTTTTTAAATTGATTTGTGTTGTAAAAACTTGCTGAACCGTGATGCTGAAATATCAGCATTACTTCAGGATTGGTGACAGATCTTGTTCAATTAGAGTAAAAAGAATAAAGTGATCCTTGCAATACCTTTTGTACTTTTCGATGTTGTCCCACCTCGGTCCCTGAATTTTGAAAATTGCACACGTGAATCTTCAAAATATTGGAAAGCCAAACATTTCACTTGGCTATCATTTGATGCACAAAAATAACCACTTTATTACACAAATAATTTACATCTGTGAATACATTGCTGATGAAACGTACCTCTCATGTGCATTCAAGCTTGCATGTGAATTTGATCTGGAGTAAATGTTTAATGTGAATAAAATTAAATCGTATTAGCTATATTTTAATTATTTTTCCTATTTTCCCTTTCTTCTTAAAGCTTGTTGGAGGACAGTTTGATTTAGAAATGAATTTCATTATCCAAGACATTGAAAGTATTACCTGCATGGTGGAGCTGTTGGACAACTGTGATGTTACCTGCCGGGCTGAACTTTGGAGCATATTCACTGCAATCCTTAGAAAAAGTATTCGGAATTTACAGGCCTGCACAGATGTTGGATTAATTGAACATGTTCTGAAGAGAATTGATAAAGCTGACAATATGATAGCAGGTACGTATGGCGATAGCTTTCATCAATGGCCTGCAGCAAGAAATAGTCTACCTAGTTAGGGCAGAAAAGAAGACTTTAACAAATATGATTGATTTTTTTTTAAAAAAAGAGGTTTGTCTCTGAAATTTTCTAGCCTTCTACCTGCTCCATATAGATTTCAGTTGTGAATTAACTTTTTCAGCAGGTGTAATTGATAGTGTATTAGTTAAAATCCATTATCTCTGCATACTTCTTATGGTAGCCCCCTGAACATTGTAACAGAACATTCCTAAAGTGAGCTTCTACAGATTTCCGAATAATCAAATCCTAGTATCTTAAACTGACTGCAAAATGAATTTTACTGAAACCATCCTTTTCCAATAAATGCAACAGCTGTTTTGTTTAATGAACAACAGTGCTTTGCTTAATGAAGCAAAACCTTCTACTCTTTGGCATTGAGCGGTCTGAACGCTAAATGTGTTTTGTCTAATGCAGCTGTCTAATAAACCAAGAATTTCTGATTTCTTACTACAAGTTTTGTGGCATAGTAGTGCATTTACTAACAGCATCAATTATTGGTATTTAATTGAAATAAACTCGTCCCTCCTGAGACGCATTAAACTTATTTAATTTTTAAAATTGATTTGTACTTTAACATGGATTCGGAAGGTGTAGATTTTTTTGCCCAATCTCAGCTGTTTTTGACTGTGGCAAGTCTAGTGTACCTAGACTTCCAAAAGTCTCTTTCACAAACTAATGTTTTTGGATATCTTTGGGGATAAGACTTTAATCAGAGTGCCTCACGGGTCTTTACTGGGACCTCACCTATTTCTTGTATGCAAAATGGTTCCTGAGGCAGGTGGGTCCGCAATATTCCAGGGCACTGCTGATGACAGGCCAGCCAGCCTGTCTTGTCAGCAGTATTTGGAGGGGCAGACTGATCACTGGGAGCAGGGATTCTTCCCACCTTGCTCCTATTAACGCTGCAAGCCAAAGTCCTCATCGATAGGATGATCCTTGCTTGATAAGCAGCGAGAGCTTTCCAGACAGGAAGTCAAAAACAAGCTATGCAGCTTTAGCTGGTTAGGATACCTGTTTACCTGATTCCAGAAAGTATTAGACACAGGTTAGCAAGAGCCAAGGAGAGAGTGCACATTCTGTTCCAGATATACAAAAAAAATTCAATGTACGTGGCATACAGATGTTGAACTCTGGTTTGGATGCACATAAGCACGGTGATGGGTTTCTTTTCGTGTTAGACACCCAGCTGACCAAATCCCCACCCCCATAAAATACATCCTTTTTCAACAAAATGCTTTCTTTCACTTGCAGATCTGTTGGTTGAAATGTTAGGAGTACTGGCTTGTTATAATATCACAGTCCGTGAGCTGAAACTGTTGGTTGGGAAGCTACAAGGAGAAAAAGGACAATGGGTAAGGTTTTTGAAACATTTATTTGATATGGTGTAACATCAGTTTTTGAACAATACTACTTGAAAAAATAATTTTCAATTGTGTATACAGAAATAGTGATGTATACTATTTCTTAGAAAATGTCATAGTATTCAATTGATACTCGTGTACAACAGTGTCTTGTAGTCGAATCATAATGATGTATGGGAAGGATTTGAACCTGATCTACAAAGATTTATAAAGAATGTGTAGCAAAGAAACAGACCCAATCAGCCCATGTTGGTGTTTATATAATCCACTTGTCTCCATCTATTCCTTACTTACTCCCTCTCCTACCCTTCTATTTTCCTGTGAATGTCTAGTTTCTTCTTGAATGCATCTATAATATCTGATTCAACTATCGCTTCAGGCAACAAAATCCACAGTCTCACTATCTTCTGCATCAAATTACCCCCCTAAATTTTAGATCCATTTTACATATGTGTCTCCTCTTTGACCATGCCATCGGTTACCCCCCTTCCCCTCCCCTCCCTTCTCCCCCTCCCGATCCCAGCTCGAGTCTGAAATGCTGTGCACTGTCCTGCGCCTTGGGATGTCCTCCTGACGTGAAAGGCGCTGTACAAATGTAATCTTGTTGTTGTTATGGGCTTCCTAATTATGCTAACCGTGCCAAACCCTTATAAAATTTTAAACACCTCTATTAGATCCCGTCTTAAATGTCTCTTCTCAAGCAAAATAAAGTCCAAACATATCCAGTCCATCCTAATAGCAGCCCTGGTATCATCCTTGTAAACCTACACTGTACTCTTTACAACTGCTATATCCTTCTTATAGTCTGCAGACCAGAATTGGACACAGTACTTCAAATGTGGTCTAATGAAGGTTTTGTACATATTAAACATCACCTCACCAAAATAGTATTGACCTTATCTGCCTGTATATATATATATATGTATACTTTTAGAGATTTGTGGATCTAATTCCCCAGATCGCTTTGCTCCTTTATCCCTCTGGGATTCCTATCATCTCAGCCTGGGTGGTCCAACCTTTTGGCTGCCAAGAGCCATCTAGATGCCCTATTTGAGAAACGTCTATGAGTCACATATGCAATATTTTATATTAAAATATTCCGCTTCCAGAGACATAACATAACATTTATGGATTATGGAGGGAGCGGGGCGGGGCACATGAAATGGAGGGAGGGGACGACAGGGCCAGTTGGACCACCTGATCTAGACTATGGACAGCTTACTTTGCATTTTCCTACATTAAACTTCATTTTTTGTCTGTCTGCCCATTCTGCTAGCCTGTTTGTCTTCCTGCATTCTTCTGCAATTTGTTTTTTACCCCTACCCCACTCCACCCTCAGTTTGGTGTCACTTGCAGATTTTGATACTGTACCTCCTATACCTGAATTCAAATTATTAATGTATATGGTGAACATGTAGCGATCCAACCATATTATAGCAGCACGTAATTTCGACCTTCTTCATTCGACATTCTTCACTGTTATGTACATTGCCATATCTGTGCTGCATTTATGCTGATATGGGGAAATACTACAGGTCATATTTACAATGTACATTTATTTCTAGTTGCTCAGTCCAGATCTCTAATGTTAAGGCAAAATCACATTTTTATATAACCTTGAATGGATTTGACTTTGAGTCAGGATTTTAAAAAAATTCTTTCTTTACAGCCTCCACATGCAGTGAAGTTACTGACAGTATTGAAACAGGTACCACAGAGACTGGGTCCAGATGCCTTCTTCAGTTTTCCTGGGAAGAGTGCTGCTGTGAGTTCTTATTGAATAATCAGAATTTCATATGAAGAGTTTCAACAGATTGTTATTTTTGGATAAATTGAGACATTTTTTTCATAGAATATTTTCTTGTTTCAGGCCATCGCATTACCTCCCATTGCTAAGTGGCCATATCAGAATGGCTTTACATTTCACACGTGGCTCAGAATGGATCCACTGAATAACATTAATGTTGATAAAGACAAACCTTACTTATACTGGTAAGTGTACAGAACGTTCCCTACTGTTTTCTCCTGCCCCATATTTTTGCCTCCAGAAGGTAGAGTAAAGTCTCCATGCGAATTGCCAGTGCTACTCTTGTTTCTGTTAAATTCTTCTCTCCCATTTACCTTCTCCACAAGATGAAGCACTTTTCTGTAGATTCAATTTAGGTGTTCTAACGAGAAGTGACCAAATTTAATTAAAGAAGACAAGCAAATTTCACTGGTAGTGAAGAATAAAATGCAAATGTATTCAACTTTTTTGACAATTGCTGTAATATGACTGTATAGGTAAAGGTGCTCAGCTGCTTGATCAGTTAAAGGACTGAGAACCGAAGTGTAGCCAGTATTCTTCCTACATATGACTGCGAGACATGCATTGACCCAGTTAGAATGTAAAGGTCATCTCTCACTTGTAGGGCTGTAACTCTTGCGGTAGAATAGTATCTGTGATGATTTAGTTGCAGCAGTATATGTTGGTGGTATAAAGTTACCAAAAGGCTGACCAATGTAGAAATGTGCAAGTTGAAAGGACAGGTTTTCAGGAAATGTTGTGGTAATAAAAAGTGGCTCACTGTAACATTTTATTTTTCAAAGGAGCAGAAAAAATTCAAAGTTTTTTTCTATTTGACATCGTTTATTTGTGCTTTTGTTTTATTTTTAACTCCTTGTATTGGACGATTCCCATGAATTTGTTTAATGGTCTGAATGGAGACATTTATAATGAAGTAAGGATTATTAATATTTAGTTGATGCTTGAGTGATGCTCAATGCTCTTTTTTTCTATGTTGTACATTGGTGTTAACACATTGGTGTTAACAGCAACCTGAAGATATAATAGACTTACAATATTCTCAGCATATTGATTTTTCTCAATTGCTGCATTGTTGACAGTTTTTATGTGTACTGATCTATCTACCTTCAGATTGAAAATGTAAAGCTAAATATGTTTACTTGTACTTTTTTCTTCAGCTTTCGTACAAACAAAGGGCTTGGATATTCTGCTCATTTTGTTGGTGGTTGTTTAATTGTGACTTCAATCAAATCAAAAGGGAAAGGATTCCAACATTGTGTAAAGTATGACTTCAAACCACAAAAGGCAAGTATTCAATTGAGCTGCTAAGTTACCCTGATCAACAGATTTTGTTTTAGTGTATTTAGTATCAATTGAATATACGTTGTGAAATTGTGAATTATCTTGTTTTATCATTGTAAGGAGCTAGTTGGGCATATGCCGTTTTCATACTCATGACAAACCTCATTTACCATGTTTAATAGGGAACTGTAGCTGAGGAAAAAGAAAAATAACGCAGTTAATTTTTGGTGCATATTTATGTCATAGCAATTGGAAAACTCACTGCTCTTTAACGTAGTGTTATAGTCCACCTGAACCATTATAATGGGTAGACACAATTCTGGTAATATCTGAACACTAGTAATGCTATCGATTACTATAATCTAAATTTTTGTTTCCTCCTGCTGTGCAACCAGTATTTTGGAATCTTGATTTTTTATGCACTACAGTGGATTGAAGTGTTGCTAATTACACAACAAGAATATAACCTAATTGTCTGCACTGGTTGTTGGTCAGAAATGCTTGTACGTTAACTAACCTACAAATCCCTCCACGTCCTAGCACTTCTGTATCGCTGACATCCTTCTGCCTTATCCCTCCGCCTTCCCACTCAGCTTGGCTAACTCTGGTTGCTGCATGTATTCTACCCCATCAGTGGCTGAGCTTTCAGATTGTAACCCCTGGAAACTCCTAACTCTATCCTTCTATCTTGCTCTTCCTCCCCTTATCTATCTTCACATCTCAAAACCCACTTCTTTATTTGGTCATTCCCTCTTCTCTCCTTGCTTGCTCGGTGTTTAACCCTGTCACTGTAAAGTGCTCGGATGTTATCTTTAATCAAGAGTGTTGTATAAAGCAAGTTGTTGTTGCTGTTGTTGTTGGGTTTGTAGATTCAAGCTCCCCATCCTCCCCAACAAGCCTCCTAGTTGCCTGTGCTGGCACTGCAGTCCTGAACTGAGTGAGTGGTGCAGTGCCCTAGATGTTGTCCTTCAGGCTGGTTGTTTAAAAAAACAAGACATTGCCTGCCTATTCAGATGGACGGTAAAGATCCCTTGAGACTATTTGAAAAGAGAAGGAAGTTTTTACCCGAATGTCCTGCCAATAATCATCCAGTTAAATTTATTGTTCATTTCATGGTTCCTTGTGTGAATTTTCTGTGTGCCAATCGGTTGATAGGTTTGCCTCGAAATAGTCAATGCAATTGACTTAATTTACCTGTGAAGTTCTTTGAGATGTTTTATTAGTAATAGTAATTAATGCTTAAATTTGGGATAGCATCTTTCATATCAGGAGGATGTCTCCAAGTCCTTCGCAGAATTTACTGTAAAGTGCAGTGACTGTATTTTGTAGGGAATTAATTTGCACAGCAATGTCACACAAACAGCTATGAAAGGAATAACCAATCGTATTGGGGGATTATTGACTTGGATATTTTGAATAGTGCCATGGGATCCTTAACATCCATTTGAACAGTCAGACATGACCTTGGTTTAATGTCTCATCTAAAGAACGGCACTTCAAACAATGCACACCTCAGTAATATACTTGAATGTCAGCCAAGACTATGTGAGTTCAAAGTACTGACGTGGAGCTTGAACCGAGAACCTCCTGATTCAGCGGTGAGAGTGTTACTAACTAAGCCAAGCTGATGCGCCTTTTAAGGGCAATATCAAATGCAAGGATTATTAAAGAAAACAATGATTTAGAGATTAAATTTATTCTGCAAAAGTTCTTTCAATGTAGATACCACATATTTTTATATTGTCAACATTGCTGCCTCATGGCGGTGCCTCTGCAGCTATTGAAACAGTGTCAGTTATGGGGAGGGCCGTGCCACTGATCGGTTATAGCTTCTCCATTCATTACAGTAGGATTCTTTCCTTTTGTTTGAAAGTACTGTGGCACCAGAAACCTTCTGATACCTGAACCAAGTGGTCATTCTTCTTGTATGAGACCAGACCATAAATTTTTAATAGGTTATTCAACTCGGGAGAGGAAAGAATGAACAGAGCTAAGCACAATCCTGTCCTCAGCTAATGTATCAAATGCAGACTTTTCAGGTAGCTTAGGAAGTCAGAGGACAGAAAATGGGTGGGAAAACTGTTATTTCCATTTTGCTTCTTTGACCATTTGTAGGACCTTAACTGTTTCTGAGCAAGATACTTTGACCGGAAGTCAAATCTATGATTTTCTGGCTTATGACTCAGTGCTTTACCAACTGAGCTGTCATCTGAATTACTTGTAGCTGGTTTGAATGAGCATTTCTTTAGAATTTTCCTACAATAATCAGTTTCCACCGCTGATTTGCCTCCATTTGTGCACTCTTACACGCAAGTGAACTACTGATTCCAACCCCCTGCTTGGGTCCAAATCCCTGTCTGTCTAGTGTCTTGGGACATCCTCCTGATGTAAAAGGCTCTATACAAATGTAATTTGTGTTGTTGTAATACTGCTGTTTCTCTCTTGGGTCTCCTGATTTTGGACTTTGCTGACTTGCTCCACATTCTGTGAATCTTGAAAAATTAGTCTTCAAAAATGATAATTAGAGAAGGGTTAATGGCAGTCTAGTTACAATTCAGTGTTGTATGTGGCTGAACTTTTCACAAACTATTTGTATTGTGGTTTTAGAAAAAGAATTGTGCCTTTACCCAAAACTGTAATTTGTATCTTTTTATGTAGAAATGGATTATTATGATTGTAGAAAATGATCCAAGGTTTATGCTTAAAGCTTTGCAAAGTTAAAATAACACATTTTCTTACAGTGGTACATGGTGACAATAGTGCACATCTACAATCGCTGGAAAAACAGTGAGATCCGATGCTATGTGAATGGTGAACTGGCTTCTTTTGGAGAGATTACATGGCTTGTGAATACCAGTGATGTAAGTATAATTAAAATGCAATTTGAAGAAATGTATTTTATTTATTTTTATGATGGATTTGTACTTGATCTCTATAGCATGTGTGAAAACTGAACTTTTTTTTAAACTGGAATCTATGATCTTATGGATGTGCACAGTAAATATTTCAATGTAAAATTAGATTTAGGTAAGCAATGTTAAATACTTCAGGATTGATTTCTTTTGTGTGAAGAATGGATTGGAGAAGCAATATGTTATGTTTGTCTGGTTTGAAATGTTTTGAATTCCTCTTCCTTATTCCTGAATGCATTTTCCTATTCATGCTACATACCTTCAGTGGGATTGGTGCCCACCTTGGTTGACACACCTCAGTTGGTGGAATCACCTTTCAACGGGTAGTGATGTGATTCCACGGGTGCGCTTAAGACGATTCTCCTCACATTTTATGCTGAGTTGTATTGCTCATCATGCAGCTTGCAAGGAGTTCCTGGTATCTGCTATCCACCTTGCGAGTGCTCAGACATATACATGCTCATCAGATGTATTATGACTATTCTTGGGGGAGAGGGAATGAGGGAGAGGAGCTGAGAGGTTAGCAGGGGTTTCATTAGCACTGAATTGGCTAAGTTGCTGCCAAGATGACACAACTGATCAGAATTGTGTCAGTCCTCTTTAGTGATCTTGTTAGTTTGGTTCCTGGAAGTCTGCTGTACTCCAAGGCACTATTGATTGATGAGACATCCTCACCCATACAGACTATGCACATGTATGTGGAAATTGGCTGCTCTGTTTGCCTACAAATGGTCGCTGAACTTCTCGTTGACATGTTTTGACATTTTGTAAGCACTTCATCAAATGCAAGGATTATTATTAATACTATGGCAGTTGTAGATTTCCACAACTCTTTTTCTTGGTTCTCTCAGCAATTGAAATCTATCGCTCATTTTATGACACAATTGTAGGAAATAAATTCTCTTAAATTTATTTAAGATCTGTACTTCCTGTTTCTTTAATGAGATTTAAACCTCCCAAGTCAAAAGGTCCTGATGTTCTATGTGTAGGTTGTGCGCTTCGTCTTGGGATGAGGAGAAAAGGAAGGGGGAATACATTGATAATGCACTGTCGATAATCTTTAAAAAAAACCTTAGAGATACTGGGTCCATTTTTTTGTAACTTATCTCTTCCTTCCTCTCCCACCTCCCAATTTTGGAATGTCTATGCAATGGCAAACAATTGATGTATGGAAGTGATCTGTCTTTCAGAAATGAATAACCCTTCCCTGTAGGTAAACTTCCACGCATTGTCTTAGTTAAGAATTTCAATATGTTAAGAAAATGTTGCATGAAATGTACATCTGAATTTTTAAAGAATAACTGATATACTGTATTTTCAGACGTTTGACAAATGTTTCCTGGGCTCTTCAGAAACTGCAGATGCCAATCGGGTGTTCTGTGGGCAACTTGGAGCAGTTTATGTCTTTGCTGAAGCTCTAAATGCAGCACAGATATTTGCAATATACCAGCTTGGCCCTGGATATAAGGTATTCTAGTATAGAAATGTTCTGAAAATGTCTGATTTAAAAATAAATGAAGCTGTAAAATTACATGAGATGAATTACATCAACAGGCAGTAATTTCAGAATCAGGTCTTTTCGTTTCAAAGTGAAGCTTTAACATTATTACTAGTGGGCCAGTTGTAATGTAGTCAATTTGAAGTGATTTCCATATGTAATTGATGCATACTGTGCAATGGAACTAACAAGTTTCAGGAGCCCATGCCTGTACCTAATTCAGAATAGAGATACGAGACCTGTTTCACACTGATTGACATTGCAGAGGCTGTAGTTATAACTGCAGTTTTAATAAATTTTGTGCGTGACTTAAGGTGCACGTACACAGAGCTCTGCTTGCTTTGCACTGGGATTGGATCAAAAGCAATGCAATGTACTCAAATAAGCCAGCTTGCACCGTCATACTAAAAGAACCAAATCAGACTTAGTATGACACAGCCATAAGATTTAAAGTTCATCACAGAGTTGTCAGTGAACATTTGTCACTTTGTTACCCAGCAACTCAGAACTTGTAATATAAAATATTTGCGTTTGGTTGCATATGTGTAAGTCTAACCTGCATTTTATTCTAAATACCAAAACAACTAGCAAGTGGAACAGTTATTAAAGAAACAGATGTCCCATTTAGCTATGGATCATATGAGTTAATCTGTTTAGTTAAAAAAGCATGAATTTTACATAAGAGGTAGGATACTAAAAGTGAAAATGTTCTGCCTTTTCCCAGGGTATTTTCAAATTCAAAGCAGAAAGTGACCTGCTCCTTGCTGAACACCACAAATCTCTGCTGTATGATGGCAAGCTGTCCAGTAGTATTGCATTCACGTACAACCCAAAGGCTACAGATGCTCAACTCTGTCTCGAGTCATCTCCTAAGGATAATCCATCTATTTTTGTTCATTCACCGCATGCTCTCATGCTTCAGGTATATGCCAATTTCTGTCAGCAGATCCACTGTACAGGTAAAACTGTAGCACAACTAATAACTTTTTTAATGGAAAGAATGATTGAATGCCGAACATCTATAAAGGACAAAGAGCATCAGAGCCCAAGTTTAGTAAAGTTTAACAAGCAAAGAAATACATTTACAAATTAAATTATGTGTCAGTATTCAATATACGTGTGTGTAAAATAGATACTGAAGTATGTTATGGATTTCAGTGAACTATAAAAGATAATGTTAGAACAGTAGCTTTAATGATCAGTTTACAATATTCCCGTCCTTTATCCTTAGTCTGGCGAATCAATGGAGGTGGCTTTCTCCATGAACTGTCTTTTCTGCCTTTTCCTCGAGTATTTTCAAATTCAAAGCAGAAAGTAATCTGTGCACGTTGTCCGCTCTGGTTGCCTCCCCAATTAATTACAGTAGAGTTGATTATCTACACTAATTGGGATTTTACAGATGAGGATAATTGGACATCACCCAAATTATAAATCGGCTAAAGTGATGAAAATTATTATAGCAGGGGTTTTACTCTCACTGTAGTACCACATGGTGCCAGCTCTTCTCACTTTCAATCTCTCTCACTCTTGTGCTCTCTCTGTGTTGCTCTTGCATGCTCTCTGTGTGTGTCTCTCATGCACGCTGTGGCTCGTTGGTTAAAAATTAACGTTTAAAACGTCAGATACTTGTTACTGGTTACATTAACAGTGCAGTACGTGAATCTGAATTGATGTGTCCAAACCAGGAAGTGGATGACAGTCCACTTTATTGTTGAAACCCCACTGATCAGATGAGTGAACTTTTCTGTGCTGCTTGAAGGTTTTGTTAAATTAAGCTAGGATGTGAAAACTTCAAAATATCCAACTACAATTGGGCTTTGGTATCTGCTGTGGATTCAAAGTGCTGACCATTTTTGTAATGCGACCTATTATAACGTGATTTAATTTATGGACCCAAGTCATTGCATTGCAAGGAAGTCCAATTATTTCATTATTTTAGTTTGTTTTAAATATTCCAGTCATGTGAAAATATGGACACGGAATAAGCAAGTTCTTTCTTGCGCATTTGCGTGCAATATATTTGCATTAATTTTGCCTTTCACCTTTTTAAAAAAAATGTAGGATGTGAAAGCCGTTGTCACACATTCCATACAAAGTGCTATACATTCAATTGGTGGTGTCCAGGTGCTTTTTCCATTGTTTGCACAACTTGACTACAGTCAGCCTTCTTCGGACCAAATTGATACCACAATCTGGTAAGAGGATACGAGATCTATCACAGTCTGCTCTGGCTGATTATCTATTCAAGCAATCCAAAGTGAAATTGCTAGTTGCGTTAAGGCATTTTAATTAGTTGGAGCTGCGCAAAATTAATGTAATAAGAAACTAATTATTTTTTTTACAAAGGGAGCAGTATGATTTGGAAAGTTACTGGTGAGGGTAGAGAATCAGACAAGACTACATATATATTTGTGTTTTAAAAATAGTTGAAATTGGGAAATATTTATAGTTGGATATAGATTGTTCTGGAGAGATTCTGTTTGGAAAATTAACTAAAATTAAGTGAAATGTGCTACATCTACTATGAAATATTTTAGCAATCTACCTTTTAGTCACAAATGCCCCTAAATGTTAACTGAAAGCAACAACAAGATTACATTTGCGCCTTTCATGTTGGGAGGACGTCCCAAGGCGCTGGGAAGCAGAACCGTTTCTAAACATTCAACTGTTACTTAAATGTTCAATTTGGCCAGATTGAATTGTGTCATCAAATATAATAAAGTAAAATGTTATTTATATTTTCAATTCTGTCATACTTGTACAACTGTTTGATTTTTAACCTAATTTTTCATTATTTAGTTCCACTCTTTTATCATTTATAATGGAATTACTGAAGAACTCTGTGGCGATGCAGGAACAGATCCTCTCCTGCAAGGGCTTTCTGGTGATTGGATATAGCCTTGAAAAGGTAACGTTACAGTACTGCTATTTTTCATGCAAAGAATTTCCAGAGCTATTTTACACTTTCAATGTATGCATCTGCAAACACTGTACAATGTGTAACTTAACATGTGCTCTGCACAGGTCCCAAGAAACCATATGGTCTTTATGGCTGTCTATTTTTAAATTGACCAAAAAGTTAAATAATAAAAGGGTAATGATTGGAGTTGGAATTCTGCCCAATTTCTACTAATTGATTTGATTGGAAGAACCTTATAAACTCGTATTAGGAAGTGTTTTATTCTACTTTGATCCAACATTAAAGGAAGCAAATTTAAGCTATTTAGAACAATACATTTTTTCGTTGAAACAATCTATACATTTAAAATGGTTAACTTTTATAAATGCTCAGTTTGTGTACTGTTGGCTGAATGGGCCATAATCCAGTCCTACTGATTTTCACATAGGCAAGATACCCCATCTAGTGGTCTTTTTGAAAACTGATGAAATCTTCCATACAGATGGATAATACGGCACTATAGCTTCTGTACTTCTGCTGCTTTGCTACTCATTAAACTTAGGATCCGTTTCAGCCACTTCATTCCATTTTCTCTTATCAATTTAAGTCCCAGATCTCTTCAAAAGGGATGCATTTAATTTTCAACGGATATCTACGTAAAACCTGTCTATTGTTGTTTTTCTAACAATATGGACATACAATATTTCAACAGACCACTGCCACAAAAACTTGTCAATATAAGTTTAAATTGTGATGCCTTTTCAACCTGTGTTTACTGTATAGTGAACTGCCTAGTAATGTCATGCTCTGAGACGCTACCCTGTGTGGGGGTTGCTATATAAATGCATGTTGATTTTTGCATACATGTTTAAAATGTACAGAGGTATTTCAATAATTTACAGTTGTAAATTCAAGCACGGACCTTTGTGGTTCATTCCTTCTAGCACATCATTCCAAAACAGTTTCTCAATTCTTGTAATTATTGCTTCCCGTGCAATGTAATAAATTTCAGAGAATTGGTTATTCCCTAGGGTAAATACAATCCAGTGGAAGTGTAACATTACTAAGCTTAAGCATTGACATTGCCTCTCCTCATATTACCATTGATGCTGTAGTAAATTGGAATTGTAACAAAATGGATTCAAGAAAATGCTTTTTCTTTTTTCTTTGTAGTCTTCCAAAATTCACATCACCAGAGCCGTGTTAGACCTGTGCTTGGCTTTTGCTAAATATCTGAGCAATTTGCAAAATGGAGGCTGTCTGCTTAAACAGCTGTGTGACCATATTCTTTTGAATCCTGCTATTTGGATCCATGCTCCAGCCAAGGTAAACCCTCTGCCTTTGGAATATATTAAAATGTGCTTGTTATGGCAATCTTAAATTTGTAGATTTTCTAATTTAAAATTGCTTATTTTGATATTAATATTGTTGTGGGCAAATATTGGTGCATTTGTGAAGTGAATTAGCTTAATTATATTCACATACATTAGTAAATCAATGCATAGGCCTAGTAAAATAGATGTGTTAAACATAACATTGTTTATCAAGCAAAATGACTCAGTTTCTTAAAGTTCACTTTGTGCCTACTGATAAAGATTCAATTCGACTTTTATGTGAACAAAAGTGCAAAGTATGAGGAAGAATCGCAGTGGGGAGTATGTTCTAAATGGGGAATTACAAGGAGGGGTAGATGAGCAGAGAGATTTAGGGGTTCACAAATCATTAAAATCTAGTTTGCAGGTGCAGAAAAAAGTGCATAAGGCAAATGGGATTGGATGCTGGCCTTTGTTTCAAGATGCCTGCAATATAGAAGTCAGAAGGTGTTTCTATAGTTATAGTTATTTAGTTCTCCAGTTTTTTTTAAAAAAATGATCACTCAATCCATAACTGTGGGACATTGCTGTGTGCAATTGGCTGCCGCATTTCGCCAACAAAATACACAGTCAATCCACTTTACAATATATTCTGTGAAGCGCTTTGAGACGTCTCAATGACGTACTTATTATACAGAGTGTTGATCAGACCTCATTTGAAGTACTGTCTGGTTTTGGGCACCCAATTAATTGGTTAATCATCTCATTATCAGGGATGTTGATGACCCAGATTGCTGGCTGCGTCATTTCTAATTTATATTTTATAAAGTAGAATGGGATGTTTGACATTTATTTTGTGAAAGACACTAAATAAATACAAGTTATCAATAATGTGATTTTTTTAAATCAAAAATTTGCAAACTGTTTAAAAATACAGTTGCAGATATGAGCATGCAGGAATAAGAATAAGGAAGGAGCAGAAAAAAAGTAATATACTCCAATGATTTTAAGAGGCAGGGGTAGAAGGAGTCCTTTGTTTGGAATCAGTGAAGTCATGTTTGAACAGTGAACATATGACTATGCATGCATATTCTTGAGTTTTTGCTTGGTTAACTTTGGAAACTGGAAATATCCACCAGAAATATCTTCCCCAAGAGCTGGTGGGTGTAGTGACCTGGATGGTTGGATAGCTTTGTGGAGTCCTGTACCTTTCATTAGAGCAGTTGCCTCGCAAGCGAGAGGACCTCGATTCGATTCCTCAGCAGGGTGAAACATTGGGCAAGTTTCCATACTCCACACAACTCTGTTCACCTAGCAGTAAATACAAATCCGGTTATTTGCCGATTGATGAATCACTTTTCTGGGGGTAATAATCCCTAAAAAAATAATAAATATAATAATAATTTGGTCATTCAATCCACGACTGTTTGTGGGACATTGCTGTGTGCAATTGGCTGCCACGTTTTGCTCACAAAATATACTTTGCAGTATATTCTGTGAAGCACTTTGAGAGTTTTTGAAGAAGTGATAAGGCACTATATCAAATGCAAGGATTATTATTATAGATTTTGCCCGTTTGAAAGGTATAGGTTGGACTGAAAGGCCTTGGAATCTTTTCTGTGCTCTGTTTGTTTGTTATTCTTGTCAAAAATTCACTTGTGGATTCATAATTTTAAATCTAATTGTTTCTTTTTTCAACTTAAGGTCCAGCTACAACTTTACACGTACCTGTCTACTGAGTTCATCAGTACAGCTACCATTTACAATGCAGTTCGGAGAGTTGGTACTGTACTTCAGATAATGCACACCTTAAAGTACTTTTACTGGGTAGTAAATCCACAGGATCGTAGTGGAGTGGTTCCCAAAGGCCTCGGTAAAGAAAAGCTAGACTGGTTCATTAAATTAAAATAGTTTATTGTGGCAGTTATATATTGCACTATTTTTAACACCTTTTGATAGTATTATAATATTTGCATTCTCTGACTATTTGACTGAGGAAAGCAAATTCAGTAGAGGAAAGGACTAAACCTGATGCTTTGTCTCTGTTGCTTGGAACCACATTACGTGGTGCACTGTTCATTGAGTCATTGATGGAGTTTTAAAACTAAAATTTGCTTGAATCTCTTTCTATGCCACGTAAGGTGTTGATTAATCAATTTCTTAAAATTGTTTATGCAGAGTTGTAACTTTTCTCCCCCTCTCCAGATGGCCCCAGACCTAACCAGAAGGAGATTCTCTCCCTGCGAGCTTTCTTGCTACTTTTTGTGAAACAATTGATAATGAAGGTGAGAACCAAAATATGGAAAATAAATAACATCATCCGTTAATGTTGACAGATTTTTTTAGGAGTACATAATTGTCCCAAGTTAAAATGTTGCTGAGCTATAGTAGGTGGAGTTTGCAGCCTGAAATACCAGTTAGAAAACAATCAGTACCTGTGATCCTTATAAGATCAGTTCCAGAACTGTGGCACTATTGAAACATTCCCTGTAGCCAGTTACATCTCATACTTCATCTATTTTGGCACCTATCCCATGATTGAGCAACTGGGATGTGCTCAAAAGAAAATTAACTTCTTATGCAGTTAATATTTTATAAATCATCAACTATTTTTGCTTTGTAGGATCATGGCATTAAGGAAGATGAACTGCAGAGTATTCTCAACTATCTTCTCACTATGCACGAGGTAAGCTAGCATGAATTGCACTTTAAATTACTTAATTTTATTAAATCTACTGCATACTGATTTTGTGTTCCATAGTACTCATCTGTTTCACAGTAAGTTTCTAGTTTTTAAATATATTTTAGGGAGCAGAAATGATGCATAGGCCAGAGGAATCAGAAAACATATAGAATATCTAATATGATGAATACTTTGTATCTTACTTTTTGGTACTAAAATGAAGAAAAACATTCAAAGTATTGGTGACAAATGTATGAGGGAGTGAGAGCAGATGGAAAGTACTGAAACTCATGATCATGTGATATAAATAACCATAAACTGACTAACTGGTAGATGTAGGAGATTTGTGGTTTTAGAAAAAGGAAATGAGGTTCTGCCACCAGATGGCAGTCTAGCTAGAATTATAAGTATGGTAGTAAACACTCCTTAAAGTAGGTGTTCAGTTTAACTGAGGTCAAGAACAGGTTTCAGATTTGAAATAGGCAGTGAAATTATTTTGGACAATCGCTTGTGGTTTGTGAACAACAATTGATGATTTTAATATTTAATAATTCTAGTGTAGCATTCCTTTGAAGAATTAAGGCTGCGCAAAAACAACAAATATCTTGCCATCTAGCACAACAACGCCTTCTTATATTCTTTTTCTTGCTTTTTAACAGCTGGGGATCTTGTCAGTCTTCAGTATTTGTGAAGGAGTTCTGCTTTTTTCCCCACTAATTCTTTACTGCAATTTTCCTCATTCTTGCCATCACAGAGCAATAGTACCAGTCAGGGAGTTAGAAGAGAAGAACAGGTAAAGACAGCAACAGAAAGGCTGCTTCATACAGATTTTTAATGTGAGAGTGCAGGATTTTGTTCTGAATTGCCTGGAATGATCATTTATTCCAATAATTGTTTTATAGGATTTATCACTTGTATAGAAGAACTAGTTTTTCACACAATTGATGCACGGAACTGAATATACAGTAATGTGCTAGTAATCATGAGGAATATTGAGAGATTTTTCTGGTATTTTGTTTAGTTCCAAGTGATGATTATCATAAGTTGAGTATGAAGCACAAATCAGTGATTAGAGCTCTCAATCTTTCTGATGAAGGTAAACTGCCATTTCAGGCTGTTGAATACAAATTCCATGCTCTGCTGTTAAAAACGAGTATAGGCAAATGGTGGCACACATTGTGCAGTCTGCCTTAGAGTGGTTGAATGTAGATTTACCTGTGTGAATCCTGATGTAACGAGTTCCTTAATTGAACCAAATTATCAGAAGAGGGGAGACAAGGGAGAGGAGACAGTAGAAATGGAGTGCAAATTGGAAGCAGTCGATGGAGGATAGGGATGGTCAGTACTTCGTGTTAGATGGCTTGATCATCATTGCCTGGGAACAGATTGCTTGCCAATTGCCCCTTACGCGTGATATATATTGGCAAAGATGTATGTAAGGAGCAGGAAAATTTAAGGCAGTTTTGCGTAATTGTATGAATTCATATTCACTTCAACACGTGGGAATATTATAGGATGGAATTGGGGGGAATCCAGTGAAGTAAAGCCTTGATGAGCCAGTGCAAAATTGAGCTTCAGTGTTGGTCTGATATTCTATCGTGTAATTTATAATTGATTTCAAATTACTAATATCAATGTTTTTTTTCTTTGTCAGCAAAATTGAAGACAAATTAAATAGCAGCTGCTACTTAATATTTGGCTATCTTATTGTACTTGGCATGTCAGTGAATACACACATAACACATGACCAGTTGTTCAGTGAATTTATCAGAATTTTAGCTTACATTTTTCTTACCCAAATAAGTGAGGGATTTGTAATTTGAAATGTTTTCATGTATTTAAATAATTTGTAAAAGCGGTGAATATTTTGATTTAGTCTTAAGTGTTAGTTTTCCTGTTTAGTTGAATGCAGTGGGCAACTGACTTCATCAATTTAGTACCAGCTGAGTTTAGTACCAACTCGTGCTCTTCTATTTATTTTGCTAACTTTTTACCTAAGCCTCAGGCATTCAAATCTTTTTTGGAGAACATTTAAATTGCAAAGATGAGTATTGATCATAAAATGTGGTCAATATCCTCTCCCATAACCAGAAAAGAGGTTTTAAATAGTTATTTGGGAAATATTCTCTTTGGAAAAAAATGTTTATTGTAATATTTAATTTCATGAGTGAAATTAGCTTGTAAAACTTCAACTTATTATTTTGGGAACACTGGTATTAAAATTTTCAAAAGACAAAATCTCTGGTTAACTTAATTTGTGGATTTTGTTCTGTTAATTCTGGTAATGTTTAACGAAAAATATTTGTTTCAGGACGACAATCTCATGGATGTTCTACAGCTGCTTGTAGCTCTGATGGCTGAGCACCCAGGATCCATGATTCCTGCTTTTGATCAGCGGAATGGAATGCGGTAAAATATTTAAATATTACTTATGTTCGATAAACCCATTTAAATGTTGCTTCGTCTTATTGAAAATTAGCATTTTGAATTTTGATGTTTAACATCAAACATTTGTCAGAGTAGTATTCTTCATTTGAAATGTTTCATTTTTTTGTTGCCCTTGTTTCCTTCTAACTTCCTTCTTCCTTGTTTCCTTGTCAATTGTAATAGTTGACCTGTGATTGTGCTAGAGATTGTGTGCAAATTAGGTACCCTTGGGTGCATTTTTAGGCAATATTTAATGCAAATCTTTGTTCAGTAGTATTTTGAGAGCTCTTTTCTTTGTTGCCCTCTCCCAAAGATTGACATTTGAACGTCAGTTTTCTAGCTCTATGGCAATGCTGCTCTCGTGCGTGGCCCTAGGAGGAAAATAAGAACAATCGCTTTTTCTTTGTCCCATATCTCTCCTTTGATGTTGGGCTTCAGCTGTGTGAGGAATTGCTGGATGGAACTAATATCTTTTAAACTGTGATTCATTACACTAGTTTTTTTTTAAAAAAGTTTTGTTTGAGTAGTGCCAAGTTATTTTAACAAGTTGATTTGTAATGTAATGTTTTTCCTTGTGAAATCATTGTAAGTTGAAAATTAGTTTTCTTGTTTAATTGAACCCCAATGGGATCTGCAATCTACCTTGCACACTAAATCTGATGATATTTAGTGTACTTGCATTCAAGAGTAATTATGGTTTGGAAAACTGTTAGTTTGATTAGTATTCAAAATGAAGACTGACATTTACATCTTGATGGACCTGTCCGATTAGTAATTAGAAGAGCTTAGACTGAAAGCTACAAGGTGTCTGCATTTGTGATGAGAATAATCACTGCCATTGAACCATGATATTGATGTTTGAGGTTTTTTTCTTTTGGTGTCATCATGATAAAAGTAATTAAGTTCAAATGGCTTTACACTATTTTCCATCTTCGTCTCCGACCCTTCTTCCAGCAAAAGCAAGGCAATTGCTAATCTGTCCTTTTAGTAATAAACTAAAAATGTATTCATTATAAATAACTTCTGACAAGTTTGGGGTGAGAGAAAATACTAGTCCTTACATTTGATAAGCACTTTATCACATCATTGAAATGTCTCAATGTTTCACAGAATTTATGTAAATTGTAGTAACTATTTGTGGAGACGTGAATCTGAATCTTTAGCTCTCAACAATGCGACTCCATGATATCAGTCTGTTAGGAGTTGAAAGTTGGTTATGGTTATTTTCTTTTCCAGCAGTTGCATTTTGAAATTATTGGACTGAGGAAGGAATAATACTTTTCTGCAATGATAATTTATACCAATTTTGTAACCCTTAGATTGCTGGTAAATTCAGAGAAATCTAAGTTTGCACGCCCTAATAAGGCAAATACAATACAATTTATACTTTTCACATCTGGAAAATTAATATAACAATAATGCAATTGTAATATTTCTGAAGTGTGAATTGTTATTGTAGAATGAAACCTATGCTTTTATGCACTAAAATCTATTTTCAGTAAATAACTTGGTAAACAAGTTTGCTTGCATTTCCTCTTTTTCCTCACTGTTTTATTCCTTTTCTTATCTAATCTTGTCTTTTTCTGTGTTAAGGTGACTTTAAATGTTCTTTACTTACCTATTTTCTTCTTCCTCCTGGTTTACATTGCCCATTTTGGAGGCAGAAGCAACTCTCTGTTTTTAACTGAGAACTGGTGCCACAGGCCAGTTTTCAATCTAACTGATTCATTGAATGGGCCTAGACTAGACTGACCTGAAGCATAGCAGCAGTGAAAAATCATTTTAATAGTCAATTCCCTTCTCTTGTATATTAAGAATGGCACAGTTGATGAATAGTTCATATGACTAGAGTTGCAAAGGGAATTTCAGGACAAATGCCAGGAATTGTTTCTTTACCCAGAGGGTAATTAACGAATGGAACAGGTAACCAGTGAAGGTGGTTACGGCCAGTACACTGGACTCATTTTTTTAAAAAAAGCTTGATGCTGTGGTGGGAGGGCAGTAGGCTGGGTATTATCGAATGATGAGGTCAGGTAGTCTGGGGAAGGGATGGTGTTAGGACTGTGCAACCTATGCAATTGTATGGGGCTCTGAGCTATTCTAGGGTCCCGAATGGATCCACTGATAAGATTTAGTATCATCGTCTCGTAAAATGTAAGGGCCCCAAACCGAACCCTTGCCCCGGTCTCCTGCAAGGCAACTGCCGACACTTGGCTGAAGGTCTTCTGAGCAAATCTGGTGAACTATGATAGTTTTAGAGCGACACTTTCAAAAGGAGATTTTTTTAATTAATATTGTAAAGGAATAATCTATTTTGCATCATTTTATGATCAAGAAGATGCTGTACATTCTATGAATTACAAAACATGATTGCTCAAGAGTGGAGCATTCATTTCCTTTTTTGGTGTCTTGCTTATTTTTCTCAACCCCAACACAATAAATATCAATAACATTTACCTGGTCATTGAAGAAAATGTGTTGGATGAGCACGCTTTGAACTCAGTTTCCTAATTGATTTATTTAATGTTGTTGCTACTTCACACCACATTTCAGAGTTAATCTTTTATATAACCATGTATTCATTAATTGATCAACTATTTTCAATTCTGTCATGTTCTTCCAGGATCATCTATAAACTTTTGGCTTCAAAAAGTGAAGGAATAAGAGTACAAGCTTTAAAAGTGATGGGGTATTTTCTGAAGCATCTTGCTCCAAAGTAAGAAATAAAATAATACATTTCCTCTTGTTTGGTAATTCTTTTTGCAGGTGACATTGTTCATCCAAACTGTTGTGAGAATTAACAAATTTGGGCATTTTAGGATGAAAGTCTAACATAGTGGAGAAAAATCCTGCATTTCATTTATGAGAGCAAAATTACTTGAGCTGCATATCATTCATTTTCAAGTCATGATCTTAAATTGAATATTGAGTAACTTTTCAGGCTATTGAAACTGTACTGCTTTCTACAGACGTAAGACCGAAGTCATGCTTGGACATGGATTATTCTCCTTGCTGGCAGAAAGGTTGTTGTTGCACACGAACATGATTACCATGACCACGTACAATGTCTTATATGAGGTAAGCATCAAGCAGTCTGTTTTAATAATGTAGAAACTTTATCTTTTGAGTATTATGCCATATTCATTTTAACTAGTTTTGCGAATGTTTCACATAACACACATATAGTCAGATTTTGTAGTTAAGCAGACATATTTTATTACAGATGGGTTCTGTGTTTCATATTTCACCCAGATTTATTCAGTTGGATCATAGTTTCTACAAGTTGGCCTCCTGTGGAAGATTTCCCTTTGTAAATTGCAGTTGGGTGGCCATGTAGTTATTATATTTGGATTATTATTTCCTTCCTGCAGCATTCATGCAAGATTTTGGTTGTTTTATTAGGGAATGATGAATGTATAACCTAGCCTCTTGACTAATTAAGTAACTTGGCTCCATGTCGTGGGGATGGGGGTGGGTGGAGGGGAGCTGAAATATTAGGGATCTAATTTAGAGTTGGCCTAGTTTCCTAGGTATAAATTCTATATGGTGTGTAAATTAGCTAAGCCTGCCTAGAAAATCCACAATCCATACACCTCTGGACAAAAGGCATCATTTGAAATGCAAGTATTAGATTGGAATTGAGTCAGTCCTCTTTTGTGATCTGGGTGATCTGGTACTTGAACCAAATGTGTCCGAATTTCTCCATGGTGCTGTGATGATGGAGCAGCCTGGTTTATTGTCAGAATTTGTTGCTGCTGGGGATTGAGATGCTTCTCACTCTGCACTTTTTAAGCGCACAAGCCAATGTCCTAGATCAATTTTGTGCCAAGAGTGTGCATAGCTAAAGTACCTTGAAAATGTTCCAATTGAGTTGTGGTTGCAAGGAAATTGCCACATTATTAAATGTTATATTAGGTAGAAAGTTTGGTTCAAGAATGAAATATATACTTGAAATCTACACATGTTCCAGATTTATGTGTTGTGCATGTCTAAACAATTGTCTATATCAACAAAGTATGTGGGAGGCTTAATTTCCTGTCGTATTCCAAATCTTGATTCTTTGCTCTTGAAACTGCACTACTTCCATGTTGTATTTTGCTCTGAATTTGCAAACTATTCAATTCATTGCCTGATGTTTTAGGTTTGTTTAACACAATTAATCATTCAATTACTTTTCTGGTTCTTTCTTTCTTAAACTTCAGTTTTAGATATTTTTTCTTTTCCTTGCATCACAACTATGATTGAGATGGCAGAGGACTTGCTCTGAAACCTGCTCTAATATGTGCAAGAGATGGCATGGCAATGAATTTGTTTAAAAACAATTTGATAGGTTTAGTGTTAATTGAAAGTACTGTGTTTGGAATGTTTCCCAAACTGCAGTTTTAAATTTTAATTATTTTACTGCTATAGTCACAAATAATATTGTAAAATGAATCTATAATCTATTACTTTGTTTCATTACCAATTTTTGTAAAAAAAATTATCTTTCAGATTTTGACAGAACAGATTTGTACCCAGGTTGTGCATAAACAGCATCCTGATCCAGATTCATCAGTAAAGATACAAAATCCTCGTAAGTTATGCTTATTTTTCAAAAGTATTAAAATCAATTATGGAGTAAACATGTTTTTGATGCACATCCGTTCTTGTAGTCTTGATTTAAATTTTGTTTAAGTTGTGAGCACAGTTGCTTCTGTTTTCACTGGGTAGACGTATTCCAATTCAGCAACTGTTTAAAGATATTTTCTCTTGAAACACCTGCATTTGTAAATGAGGTGACTAACCCATAAGCAATGAAGTCCTGGATTGGTGTCTGGTCCTGAGAGGCTTGATCTAGATTTTAAAAATGGGGCATCGATGTCTTCTGTTTCTTCCCCTGCCACCTCCACTTCATGTAGTTTCTGCAATGCTTCAAAATTAGCAGCAGTTTGTAAAATAGGAAAGCTATTTCCTTTTGAATTCCCTTTTTCTTCTCTCGGAATATACAGTTTTCTTGCACACAGAGTCAGTATCTATCAGTTACTTGGGTGTAGGATAAATTAGGTAATGGTAAAGTTTCTTTACGACTTGAAAAATGTCTTAACCCCAATCTCAAGAGCACCCTTGCTATTAGAAGTATGACATTTCTGTGTCCACATCCGCAGTCATTATGGCTTCTCTAGGGCTGCCAATTTAGTGTCCATTTGGAAAATGTGCAGTTTTGAACAGTTTGCTGTCACCCAGTAGGAATTGATTTATTTCATACTATGATGAGGATGCACTTAGATTTGCATATAGGTCTCAGAAGTGAAAAGAATTGAGTTAATTCCAGGCACTGAATGCATCTCCAGCCAAGAATGCACATTCCACCTCACTGAGCTGGTTCGGAACCTTGGTGTCTTGTTTGACCCTTAACTATCCTTTCTACCCTACATTCGTGCCATGACCCGCTCGCCCGGCTCCACCACTGTCTCACACCGCAGGCTGCTAAGACCTTCGTACACGCATTCATCACATCCAGGCTTGACTTTGCATCTCACTCACTGCTTGTCGGCCTCCTCAACTCCTCCCTCCAAAGGCTGAGGATCATCCAGAACTCTGCAGCCCATGTCCTCTCCGGGTCCAGGCTCCATGACCCTATCACCCCCATCCTCGCCCAACTCCACTGGCTTCCCATCATACAGAGGATACAGTTCAAGATCCTGGTCCTCACCTTCAAAGCCCTCCGCGGCCTTGCTCCCACCTACCTCAGCTGGGGTCCGAAACACTGATTGTCCGGCGCCTTGGGACGTCCTCTAGACGTGAAAGCGCTATACAAATGTAATTTTGTTGTTGTTAATCACCACCCAGTCTGTAATTCTGCTTATGTTTTCAATTGACATTATAGCAAGATTGCTTTTGAATAATACTTTAGAAATAATCATTCCCTAGCTAAATATTTTGCTACCTTCAATTCTGTACTTTTCTCCACAGCCTCCCATTCCCTATCCTCAAGTAAAAGGATGGTCTGTGATTTCAGTAGCTGTGAATTTATATGATTCAAGAAGTAGGGTCCATTCCATCTAGTTTTTGGATTGTTTTACTCTTGTTCCCTTACTGCCTCTTTCTGCTTCTTTTAGGGCAGAACTTGAGTGCAAAATATTTTGTTGTAATTTAACAATCCACCATTTATAACTTGATGAAGATTGGTACGGCAACTGTTATTCAAGAAAATCTAAATTATATTCAGGCTTAAAAATAGATTTGTATTGCTAATAATCTTATTGCATGTCCAAACAGTCGACACTTTTTCTAACCTAGCAAAGTTGTAGACTGTGGATACGCAAAAGGATCAGTACAAGAGGTTCCTACACATTCTGTGATATTCTAAAATTACTGTCGTAGGGAATAAAGATAATATTAGCTGCAAAATCTAATATTTAAAAAAAATACAACCTTGTGAACATTGTATCACTTTGGGCATTTATATTGTGATTTCTTTCTTTACAGAAATCCTAAAAGTGATTGCAACACTGTTGAGGGGTTCGCCTCAGATTCCAGAAACTACTGAGGTTCGCCGTGTTTTTCTGTCCGATATGATCAAACTCTTCAACAGCAGCAGAGAAAACCGGCGGTGAGTTTATTGTAAATGGAAATTAAGACACTTAGCTGAAATTTGTAACTAGGATGCGAGTAATTAAAACTAACCCATCTATATTTGTAAAGTTAAAACATGTTTGAATTTACAAAATAGTTATTAGTTTAATTACTAATTAGAGAACCAAATTATGTTTCTAGTTCTTCAATACTTTGGAGTCTTATATTGCTCTTAAATATCAAGCTGAGGTTCCAGTGACATTTTGGATTGGTATAGAATTTTAATAGACTTCTTCAGGAAATTATTTTGTATCGAAGCTGCTTGACATGTATCCTACTGCTTGACATGTAGATCTATCTTAGATCTATCTTGCTTATTGGTTAATGAGCTACAAATACTACTAGTTTTGCTCCGTTTACGTCTCCCAAGAATATTTCCCTTATTCCTTAATTATATTGTGACTTGTTTCATACTGTTCTAACAGCAAATAACTTATAGTCTAGTTTCATTAATTTTATTTGTTCGGCCTAAAGAATATCACTTTCAAGATACTATTTTTAAAATTAAACTTAAAAATTCTTAAATTGCACTTTTTTGTGTAAAAGAAAATGTAGTGGCCAGGTGAGTTTAACCACTTATCTGAACTTTCGCTGGATTATTCGTTCCCATTTGATACAAAGTTGGGAAATGTACTCTTCTCAGCCTAGTTTTCTTATGCAAAGCTACTCTGACTTCCTCACAACTTAACATGACAGTCAAATATGTTCTAGATTGCCCACTCCACTAAACTGGAATATGTAACGGTGATCTGTAACAGCTCTGAAGGTTTAAAATTTATTGGAGAAGGGAAGGTTTAGTGTTTAAGAATTAGAAATTTAGAACAATATGTTTTAAAAACAAAGCCTTTCACATACCGCCAATTTCAATTCTGCTTCTTCTCCAGCTGTATGACACTAATAGCTATACATAATCCAATCCTCAGCACTTTGGGCTTCACTTTGATTGCCCTTGAGTCTGCTTGGCTCCAATCCCTGGCGGTAAACCTGCCAAATAAACTTCTGGGACAGAACTCTGAAGATTTTTTTGACTCTGGTCAAATGGTCAGTAGTATTTAGTTGTTTTGGGTTATTATATTCACTATGATATAAATCATATCCTACACATGGGGCAGGAGTTTGTTCGCTTATCCAGTGAATCCTTGAAAGTCGGGAGGGTTTGCAGAATTCGACCCTCGCTGGACTGGGCTCAAAACTCCCCCAAAAAAATTTCCACAGGCCAAAAATTTTTGCGGGCCCGATTGTAGACTCTTGCTGGCCCAACTCTCCTCGTGCTTGCTAATGCAATGTTGAGCAGCTCACGTGATTCCACAACTCCCTGCTTCACCATCCTTTCTCTGGCATTTTGTGTCCATGTGGGTGAGCGACTACTTTTTTTACACAGCGATAGATATGCCATTTTTCAATGGATATCCGTTTTTTGCATCATAAGATAAAGGCATTTTATTTGTATATATCTGAAACAAACAATTTGTAGGAGGCGGAGTTTTTGCTGTACTCTTGTAAGTTGACACCTGAAGAATGTCATTGAGTCTTGAGAGAGTTGACGTCTCAAAGCGCTTCACAGAATATACTGTGAAGTTTTAGTCCCATGTTTAACTTAATGGGTTATTTCAATTCATATTTCTTCAAAGCATCCAGAATTTGTCAAATTGTTGAATTCAGCTTTAACTTTGTGGTGTTTATTTTGTACTTAAAAAAAACTTGCAGAAAACTGGCTTCAAAATTAAGACAGGATTTAAGAATTTATCAAAATCTAGTCCTCTGGAATACTAAAATAAATAGAGGAAACCTGGGTGTAATTTCTCCCAGAATGTTCCTGGGGTTACAATTCTTGGTTTGTACTGTGTATATTTGAGCTTCAGCTTTGTTGGACTGAATTATTTAAAATTGAAAATAGATTTCAGACCATTCCGAATGCCTAACTTCCACACCTTGTATGGAGCAGTTATTTTAGAGGAAGCCTTTAGAAGTGTCACAGTCACTACATTTTACTACATCCTGTGAAGTGTTTGTGATGTGAAAGGCGCTATATCAAAAGTAAGGTTTATTACTATATTTTACATTAAAGATGTATGGCATTTGATAATAGGACAGTAATCATTTCTATGTTCCTAGCAAATACAAAATATTGTGTAATCCTCTTGTATTTCAATGAAAAGTTCATCCAAAAGAGCCATATTATAGTGGCCATTTTACCGATGTCGAGAAGCTACAGAATGCCAAGATATTATACCTTCCATGAAGCTAATAAATTATTTTTAAGTATTTTAGAATCAGCACATTTAGCATATTGTTAATATTACTTTTTGAAGTGTTCAAAATAATATTCATGCCACTTGTAAGGTAATTTCTACCTTTTGTCTGCATTCTAGAAGCCAGTCTTACTCATGAATAATCGTATCAAATGTGACTGTTCTCTATCTACTCTATGTATTTAATAATTTGCATTGCCTTAATACTGCATTGCCAAAATTCACAGAAATCTAACTGTGGTTGTATTGCAGGAGTTTGCTGCAGTGTTCAGTATGGCAAGAATGGATGTTGTCTCTTTGCTATGTCAGTCCTAAGAATTCTGAAGAACAGAAAATAACTGAAATGGTCTATGCTATCTTCCGGATATTGCTTTACCATGCAGTTAAATATGAATGGGGTGGTTGGCGTGTCTGGGTGGATACGCTTTCAATTACACACTCTAAGGTAAGTTCTGGATCCCTTACACTTCTGAAGTGCTTCCTAATTCATTTTGGATATTTCCTTTTTTTTGATTTACATTCTATTTGAACAGCTGCATTACGTAAAAATCTTAAAAGTGGTAATTTCACCAAGCTTATGATGTGTATAATATTTATTTTGTTAGCTCATTACAGAAGCATAAAATGACAAATCTCATTTTTTTTCTGATGTGAAAGGTGCTATACAAATATAATTTGTTCGTTATCCAGCTAATATAATTTCAACATACTTGAAACACTGCAATTGGGTATTTCTTGGGAAGCTTTTTTAAAAAAAAATTGTCCATCTAATGTTAACTTTAGTTGATCCTTACATTATAAATATTTTTGTTCTTCCTAAAATAGTAAATTACTAAAGGTTCCAGTGAAAGTTACGGTAAGAGTTTTCTGGTTATACTTTTCTAGGCCACAAGGAGGCGTATATGTTTTGTTAAATTCTTAACAAAGAATTTTTCGATTAATACAGATGTAAGGTTGGGTGAAAATGAAAGGAGATAATGTACCAGAAGGTTACAGATATTAGATTTTTTTCAAGCTGAGAAAATTTAGGCTGTACAAATTGAACTGAAAAAATAATAATTTATGCAATGGCTGTTCACCATTCACCAATGTTACTTTCCGGTTGCACACAGTAAACTTTTGTGTTTGTTATAATTTAGAAAAAAATGTGGGTGGGATGTTAAACTGAGGCAGTTTTGTCAATTTGGCCTATCCTTACTTGTAAGAAGGATGAGACAGGTTCATTTCATGTAAAAAAAAAATTACAATAGACCTATCACTTCAAAATGTCTCAAAACTTCACATATTGTGACTTTGAATTGTAATTACTTTTTTAAAAAAAACTCAAATGTTAATTTCTTGCCGTCAACATACCTCAAAGGACAATAAAATATATAATTAATTGGTGAATTTGGGGGAAGTAGGAATATTTTCCAGGCAGCAAGAGGAACTCCCTGCTCCTTTGACATAGTCCATCCAATAGTATCTTCAACATTCACCATAACTGGCAAATGGATCTTTGGTTTAAAGTCTCTTCTGGAAGTGCAGGACTTCAGCCATGGAATGTTCCTTCAGTATTACATTGGAATATCAGCTAGTTTTATGAATTTATGCACTCGTTTGTGGCATTAAATCTCACTCTTCTGATTCGGAGCAAGATAGTAACCAACTGATACGTATGACCCGTAGAGACAGACTTTATTCCATCAGTCTCTTGGGCTAACTTGTAACCCAAATCACAAAAGTGTCAGTACCATGTAGATTTATTTTGCTGGCCAACTCCAAACTCAGGATTTGCAGCCACACAAGTGCCACAAATGTTGGCTACAATCACCTAATGGTCTCCTGTTGTTTGGAGGTGGGTGTTATTGAGCTTTGTATCACTGCTGGGATTGATTTATCCTTTGCTAATATTAGCGACAGCATGTGTATAAGTGTGTATGTATCCGTCTATCTCTGGAATTATGCCAAGGACTAGAGAGTGAATCATTTTGGTGACAGGGGACTCGAATCATTTTAAATAAAGAACTTTTAGGTCATGTAAATAAAATTTACAATAGATGTAAATACAATTTTTAGGTAACTAAAATGCGCATGTTAGCAGTTGAATTTCAGTATTTGTGCATCTACAGCATGCATAACTAGGATATTCATAGCATCTTTAATTGAGTTTAGTTGACATTAATCTTTATTCCCTATTTTTTAAAAAATAGTTATTTGAATGTTTAACTTTTTCCCTTCCCTTCGTCTCGCTCCCTCCCTTTCCATTTTCAGGTCTCTGCTGAAGACCTTTCTTTTTGACCGCGCCTTTGGTCACCTTCCTCCCCCTCCCCCTGGCTCGGCCCCGGGATCCGTTACTGTGAAGCGCTCTGAGACGCTGTCCGGCGTGGAGGGCGCTATATAAATCCAAGTTGTTGTTGTTATCAGTATTTTTCCATTCCCATATTAAACTGTGGGACACCACTGTACAAAATTGGCTGCTGCTTTTTGTCCATAAAATACACGGTTAATTCACTTTACAATATATTCTGTGAAGTACTTTGAGACAACTCAATGACGTGATAAGGCACTATATCAAATGCAAGTATTATAAAATTGTTTTTTGTATCTGTACAGATTTTCTTACAGGATTTATTTTGTTTGAACTTCGTATTTGGTAGGATATAGTGATTTACCTTTAATCAGACATAATGTAGACATTAGATAAGACGGTGATTGATGTTATGATGTGAAATTATTTTATTAGACTCCAGAAATATGTGCTATAAGTATAATACTTTAGGAGTGGTCAGATGAGGCAAAACTACTTATCGCCTCAGAAATGTGCAATCCTTAATTACTTGGGAGGGGATTAGTGCAGCATCTTCCATTTGCCAAATGATGTCCTATTCCACTACTTCTCAGTTGTTTGTAGAACCCTCTACACAGCCTATTTTGTGCAAATACTGCTTAGTCAGAGCCTTTCTAAAGAGATTACCATTTCTTGTCTTTCTTTCATGGAATAGAAGTCTTATTTCCCTTTATGGCTTGTGCTTGAAACATTTAACGTAAAGGGGAAGGTTAAAGTAATTCTGTTTCTTAGGTTCTATTTTACCTTTCCCCTTCCCCCAGATCTCTAATGAAAAAGAGCGATCTCTTGACAGCCAACTGAGGCCACACAATTTGAGAGGCTTTGTAGTGCTACACATCAAGATCTGTGAATTTCCTATAAAAAGCCAAAGAAACTCAATTGCAATTTTATTGTACAGTTTGATAGATTTCCTGCCATCTTTGTAGTAGCTAAGCTGTTTGTCACTGTAATTCACTCCTCCCACAGCTACATTGCACTCATTAATGCATGGTGGCTTTCCTGACACTTCTGCACCATTCCCCTTTTCCATACAATTTTGTATAGTCAGCATTTAAAAGCTTTGAAGAAAGAGTTCTCTAGTTTCTTACAGTTTTTGGATATGTTAGTCTTGTGTTTATTTTACAATGTTATTGCAGTTAAAACACCCATATCTCTGCCTTAGTTATATGGCTCTGGCTCAAGGTGTTGGAAGGTTTTGAATAAATCTGTGTTTTTTCAAGTGATGGCCACACACATAGGGATTGCTAAAATTATAAAACTAAAGAAAATCTAACTTGCCTAAATTATATTGTTTAGTATACTTTAGAACATCACCATTCTTAATTCTTAGATACCGGTAAATTGGTAAAATATTCATTTGCTACTATTATTGCTTTCTCTGTATGCAATGAATTTGCTTTAGTCAGTGTTTTGTGTTGATGTATGAGCTATTTAAGCATGCAAGCATGATTACTGTCTGCACGGACAGTGAACAATTCAGACCAAACATTCTACTGATACAGCCACTTGCAACAAAATAAATTGTATTTTGAAAATACATACATATAGAATAGCTATCATTCTGAAGCCGTATAATATAATAAACAATAATACTTCCCCTATGTTATTATTATTGGAATATTTTTTGCAATAATTATTTTAAGGAATAATCTATACCACTACATTTTTTGTGTAAATCTAGAGTCTATGCATATCTAACCATATACTGCATCAAAAGTGGGACCATTTTCTCTTATGGCAGTGTGCATTGTAAAAGATGAATGAGCCAACAGGGCCAGTTTGAATAAAATAGTATTGTCTTGAAGTTAGAGTTGAATGCCATAGTGATGGCAAACAAAAGGCACGAAATGTGGCTTGTTGAGCCTGATCTACACCTTTCTCAATCAATAGCAGCTCTACCTCTACCTTCTCGTCCTGACCCAAGTCCTACTGCCTAGTTGAGTGCCAACTTTCTGCAGCTGAACATGGACAAGATGGAAGTCACACTTCTTGACTCCTGTCAATGTCTTCTCACATGTGATTTTGATCTCTTTTAACGACTCCCCTCATCTATTCCTCAGACTGACTGAACCTATACGCAGCCTTGGTGTCGAGTTCGAATCCCAAATTATCCTTCCTACCCCATCTATGACAAGGACTGCCTTCCACCACCTCCTCCACATCGCCTGCCTTTGATCCTGTTTTACTTTGAATGCTGTTGAAAACCTCATCCATGTTTTTGTCACCTCTTGCTTTAATTTTTCCAATGCACTACTTGCCAGTCATCCCCAGTTCCACTATAAACAAGATCCAAATAATACAAAGCTCTGCTGCCTATGTCTCGGCACGGGAACCAGGCACCACTCTCCCATCACCCCAGATCTTACCAGGCTCCACTAGTTTCCTGTTGCAGAACAGATCCATTTCAAGATTCTCACTCCCATTTTCAAATAAATCCACGCCCTGGCACCTTTCTCTCTGATCTTCTCAAACCCTGCTACACTACCCGCTGCCTCTGTTCAACTACTTCAGGTCTTCTGCATGTCCACTCTGCTCTTCCTTTGGTAACTGTGCTTTCACCCACGATGCTCTACGTTTCTGGAACTCCCAGCCTTTGGTCACCTTTCTTTCCAGCTTTGCGTCAAACCCCACAGCTGTTAAGTTCTCCGAGATGCTACCCACACGGAGGCTGCTATATACATGCAAGTTGTTGCTGTTTTAACTTGCACTTCCAGCCTTTTTTCCATATCCCTTAATGCCCTCACTTCTAAGGGAGATATCTACCTCCCTTTTAAAACCCAATTTAATTCTGCATCTATTGTCTAATGCGGCAGTGAGTTTCATATTCTCAACAACTTTTGTTGAGAAACATTTACTCAATGCACTGTTAACCGATTTAGTTCTTGTGTTAAGATTATGTCCCTTTGTTCTGGATTCCCTTACTGTTCCCTATCTACGTCTTCCTAGAGTGAATTGCTCTGATTATTTTGACTCTTACAGGGAAGTAAGAGTACGTGGAGCATTCCACTGGATCTCTCTTTGATTGACAATTCACTGATAATTTGCATGCTATGCGTGTTCCAACTTTCCATGCATTTGGATAGTCAGCTGGTATTTTAGTTGTGTAATTAATTTTT